CAAAAAGTTCCCACGATGAATCCAATTTTTTTACTCTAGACCATCCTAAACGGTATAACCATTTCATTCCCAATTAAGATAGGATTTGTATATCTCAATTATGACTGCGTGTTTGTCACAACAGCGTTTTCATCCTGTTGGAAATGATTTGCTTCCATATCCTTCAATTGTTCTGACGAGAAAAAAATGGTTACTTCTGATTTTTGAGATACCGTTAGGACTTTTCATTAAGTTGGTAGACACACAGCCCCTATTTTTAATCAATGTTTGATGCTATTTACATTTTTCTAGTTTTTGGATATGCGCTTAATATAGATTCGACAGAGGAAATCTAAATAGAAACTAATGCAGTCAGAATTTTATTCGTAAACTTTGTCTTTGACACGTTTAAAAGGTAGCAATAAAAGCACTCTCGCACAAATGTTTAAGACAATTTTCTCTCCCCTCCCCCGCCGAAAATATTGAAAAATCTAGAGAACAAGAGCGAGGAAATTAATTTGAGACGTGATTGTTGAGATAATTACACCAAACGGTGTACCTATCGTCATCAAAGACACTTAAAATAATCCACAACTTGTCGTAAAACATGCGTCATACGTGTAAAGAGAAAGATTTCATTGTTCGTGAATAAAGAAAATCCACTAAGTAGCATAAAGACGCTGAGAAATAAGACCGGTAGATCGGTAACATGCATAACTTGTCGTAAAACATGCATCATGCACGTAACGAGAAAGATTTCACTGTTCGTGAACAAAGAAAATCCAATGAGTAGCTTAAAGACGTTGGGAAATAAGACCGACCAACAGATCGGTTGTTAACAGAAAACGATACAAGAGTTTGCACGGTGTATGGAGGAAGTTTCTTTGACAATTGGATCGAGGATGATAGAATTTGCTAGAAATACCGTTTAGGAGGGTAATATGTCGACCATCTTCGACATAAATTGCTTGTTGTAGGATTTCGGTGGTGTCACAGTAAAACTTACCTTTTCCCCCTCCCTATAAGTATCTCTAGTTTTCCAGTGATCCCTCCTCATTGGCCCTTGATACAGACAACAGAATTTGAAGTATAAACGTTTTACTTTAAGTAAGCCGGCAAGTTCCTTTCATAACTTTGCGACTATTGAGCTTGTTCAAATGAAATTTTAGCTTTAAATATATGTTTTTGCATTATGAATAATTCAACCGATCAGAAAAC